TGACACTCCACTTTGTGTAATTTAAATACCCTTATTCGTCAAATTAAAAAAAAAAAAAAAAATCTATCAAGTAATCTTTCACCGCCTTATGTTAATGTGAAAACACTCCATTGACAATTTAATTTCTAAAGGTAAAAAAAAGAAAAAAAGAAAAAAAAGAAAGAACATTTATTATTGCTTTCATATTGGGCAAAATGAATTGATCTTGGTCAAGATCATCATATACCGTCTATCACTTTCACATCTAAAATGGGTTTTGGAGGTATTAATATACAATATAACTTGTTAACTAATACACGCATAATGATGCAATAGTAATAACTAAGATTTTATTATTTATCTTCAAAGTCACTAAATATACATTTCTAATTTTCTACTACTTCCTAAATGAAAACATAATTCTTTTTTTTTTTTTTTGTACCATAACAATCAATTAAATCGAGCTGTCAAAATTGAATAAATTGAATATTTGATATGGAGGTCAATGTTAATTCTTTCAACTTTCAAATACTTACTAGTTAGGTAATCACTATTAATTTTTTTTTGTTGATAAATTAATATTTTTAAATATTATAATCAATTATTTTTAAAAAATTTAAAATTTATAGGATCATAACCACATCAGTTATGTATATATGTACTATGTATTAACAATAGAAGAATGGAGGTCTTTCACTCTTTCTCTAGATCTACTACTGCAGGAAATTGCCTCAACATTATCCTCTTGAAGCTAACATTTCTAATGAGAGAAAGGGGAATCCTGTTGAGTGTGAAAAGGGCAGGGGAAGTGTCAAAACAGGCAATCTATTCATGTGCATGTAAAAAAAAAAAAAAATTGAAAGGTTATGTTCCTTCACTCTGTGTATGGGCATCACTGTCATAACTCACAAACTTAAAGAATATTTATGAATCAGCATGAATCAGCATCAAACTTACCTGCTTCTTTGTCTTTAGTACATTGATAATATTAATTCGCAATAATGGAGTCTAAAGCGTCACATGATGTACATCCAACGAATTAAAAGGCATTGCAAACAATATTCAAAATAGGTAGGTATTGTAAATAACTTAAATAACTCAATAATTTTTTTTTTTTGATTTAAAAGTAAGAGATTTTAAGTTTAAGTCACATGACATACAAGTAGAGTGAGATAAAAGATGTAAAATAATTACATCTCTTTATGTAACTAAAATAAATATATATATATGTAGGTATTGTTCTAGCTTTATTTAATGTAATAATTTCCACCCATTTATACCCAAAAAAAAAAAAAAAAGCAAGTAAAAGGACAGCGAAATCTTTGCATATATCACATAAATTTATACAATTATAAAAATATTTTTTTATTATAAAAGTTGAAGTTGAAGTTGAGTTAAGTGTAGCTTTTAAAAAAGATTTGTTCAATAGTAATATTCTTTTAGTAGATATAAGAAATATTAAATTCAAATCATAATTAATGTGGATAAAATCGATTAAATAATGAAAGAGAATTGTTTTTATATTCTACAACTCAAGATAAAATAAAATAAAGAAAAAGTGCATATTAGTTTTAATTCTCAAAAATAATTGAAATTCTATTCTTATATTATATTGTTTTATTTAATTATAACTCAATTCAAAATTTAAAAAATTATTTTATTAAATATTGATATATTAAATATATAATAAATTTTTAAATTTAAATATTAATATTTAATAAAATAATATTTAAATTTTTATATGTAAATTGAAATTGTAATTATTTTTAAAAATTAAAATTGATACATATTAGTTTTATAAAATAAAGTAAAGAAAAATACAATCAAGCTTTATATTTCATCAACCATATGCTGCCATCACCAGAAGAAACCAATGTATAAAACGAAATCACCGGTGTTGTCCCCTATTCTTCAAACTCATAACTACATGTAGGACCATTTTATAATGGATGATGCCCAATGAACTTTCCTTAACGCGTGATTAACCAAATCAAATCATGCTTAAAAATTATAAGAGTGCCGACCAATTTAATAAAATCATGTAAGAAAAACAAAAATAAATTAGATGTTTCTGCTTTGTTGGCATCTTAATTACCCCCCAAAAAAAAAAATCAAATTGATTAAAGGTTAATCATCTAATGTAGTGACATGTGTAGCCATATACATTTATATTCCCCTGCCTTCCGGGGTCAGCTTGGCGGGCTCGATTTCCATAGAAATTATTCTAAAACCTAAACATGTTCTTGGATCTGCTTCCATGGGGTTTAACTTTAGCAAGAATTAATGATCATAATTACTGGAATGAATGATGGTCATTGGTCAATGTCGGAACCTTATTCCAATAATTAAGAATGGGGTTTGTTAGGACAGGAATTGTCTCCCTTCCCACCACCACTAACTGTGAAGTGTGTTCTGTGATGTGCCCCCAGCAGTTAGAGGACCACCGTACAGGCCGCCTCCTACTTTTCCCTCCTTTTAGCTTCATATCATTAAAATAAAAAAAAAATAAAAAAAATAAAAAAACTTGGTAGGTTAACGAAAAATGAAAAGAAACTTCATATTATGTCTTTCTTTTTGTACTCTACATATCTTTTGACTTGCTTTGATTTTAATATACTGTACCCTTTGTTTTTTTGGGGGCATGGGTCAGGTACACCTACAAATGGTAGCTCTTTTTATTCACCATATAGCCGTTGGGGTGAGTCGAACCCAAACTCAGGATTTATGACGAACGAGAAGGGAACCTAATTTATTAACAATCTATTCGTATTAATATTCGTGTTAAATTTTGATTGGTTTGTTATGCTATGTTTGAGATATAGCAATTATATAACTTGTAGTCTAAAACTTTTTTCATAACTTAAGGGTTACTATTCACCAAGTTTTTAAGGTTGAGCCAATGGGCATGATATGAATGATCGGCAAGGGCGGTTCTTGATGGTTTATTTCTTCTTTCTTTTTTTTTGGTTTCTCGTCCGGTATCCGGGGTTTTGCCCCGACTACTCCGGACTCGACCAGCTGTGGCGCACCAAAATGGTGGGTGGGTCTCCCAATGAAGGCTACTGCGTACACAATGTTTCGAATTCGAAACCTTATTTAAGCTGGAATAAGCCGCTTGCCACTTGATCCAATCTTTCGTTGGTGGTTTATTTCTTTTTTATTTTGGTGAAATAACGACATCAATTTTAAATTTTTTATTTAAAAACATTAATTTTTAATTTCTTATATAAAAATATCAATTTTTAATTTTTTATTTAAAAATTAATTAAATAATGATACTGTAATTGTAACAAACCAACAAATCTTTCTCGGTCTAAGTCTTCTCTTTGAATAGATCTGTAAAATTTCGAGATTGGTTCTCGAAATAAACACTCATATATTTAAATCAATAATAATATGATATATTCTTATAAAAGAATAGAAATAAAGTTTTAAGTCGGTTTTAATTATTTTTAGAAGGTATTTATAAGTTTTAATGAGATACTCACATAGCCTACTTAACGAAATAATCAAGATCTGACATGTTCAAGAAGGCGAGGGTCTTAGGAATGGAGGATTAGCTGAGGACATGCTCACTACAATTACCATACAACTAGAAAGAATTTAACTTAAATTTCATCTTGGTTATTAAGTAATCGAACTCAACAATTTGGGGAGTGATTCGAGCTTAATAACACATCTTGGTTATTATGTCTGAGATCGGTGACCTTGGACTATTGTTACTGATATTAACATAATAAATGAACTCTTTAATTAGAATAAAAGTTAACGTTCTTAAAAAAAAAAAATGATATTTTTAAATAAAAAAATTAAAAATTAATATTTTTATTTAAAAATTGATAAAATTAATATTTTTAAATAAAAAAAAAAATTTGTAAGTAGATGAGTCAAATTTTAGTAAGAGTGCTTGAACACTCGCGCGTCTCCCGAGTGCATATGGCACTCCT